GAAACCCTTTTTAAAGTTAATTTTTCGAAGACGAATAAATTTCGCATGAAATCGTAATTTCTTACCTCAAATTTGGGAATCAGCGAATCGAATTTTTTGAATAATTTCGCTCTCATCTCTAATAGTGATCATAGTGAATGCCAATTTATGTAACACCATAGTTGTTTGGCCTCATTTTTCAATCATAATGGTAACAGAGAATCACTCAAAATGGCCCCTGATCAAAAAGTTTGCATACTCTGGAATGTTTGGCCTTGGTACAGACATACACAATTGGTGACACACATGGGTAGGTTAAATTGCAATTAAAGGTTAATTTCCCACATATATGGCTTTTTAAATTGCAAATAGTGCCTGTGTATAAATAGTCAATGAGTTTTTTAGCTCTCATACACTGAGCCACTAGGGGATCAGAAAATAACTGTCAAAAGACCTTTGTAAAGATGGGAAAATGATATAAACGATGTCCAAATCATATGTAGAGCACAGGTAGAGCAAGAAAGATTGCAGCCACAAGTGCCAGAAGAATTGTTTAGGATAAAAAGAAAAACCAACAGGTAACCTCAGGAGAAATACAGGCTGCTTTAGAAAAGACAGTGTGGTTTTTTTGACGGAGTGCAATACGACAATACTTGAACAAAAATTAGCTGCATGGTCGAATTGCCCGAAAAAAAACCTTTACTGCCCCAATGCCACAAAAAAGCTCGGTGAGGCATGCCAAGGTGTTTGTCAGGCATATTGTAAACAAGCTTTTTTGTGGCATTGTGGCAACTCAACCATGCAGCTAATTTTTGTCCACTTTGGGAACATCCAATTTCTTTTGCAATTACCCTTTTGAGGCTTTCATTCTTTATGGAGGGTGTCAATGATGGTTTTCTACACAACTGTCAGGTCATCAGTCTTTCCCATGATTGTGATTCCTACTGAACCAGACTGAGAGACCATTTAAAGGCTCAGGAACCCTTTGCAGGTGTTATGGCTTAATTAGCTGATTAGAGTGGGACACTTTGAGATGAGAATATTGCATCCTTTTCACAATATTCTAATTTTCTGAGATTGTGGATTTGGGGTTTTCATGAGCTGTAAGTGTGACAAATCATGACTTGAACTATCTTGCTTTGCATGTAATGAGTCTATCTCATATATTAGTTTTCACCTTTTAAGTTGCATTTCTGAAATAAATGAACTTTTGCACGATACTCTAATTTTTCGAGTTTCACCTGTATGTAAAACATCAATGGGATTGATTTACTAAAGACAAAAAGAATTTTCACTTTGCAAGGGAATTTGCACTTTGTCCAACGCTTTGTGAATGAGGTAAAGCTTTGCTGAATTCCATCATCAAATCACATGCAAGCAAAAATGCTGTATGTTTTATTCTGTTTTCACATGATCAGGAATACAATGAAAAATGAAATTTCACCATTTGCTAAGCCCTGGGGAAAATTCCCATGCAAAGTGCAACTTCACTTGCAACCCCAAACAGCATAACTGCTCACATTCAAAGGAAACAATAGGGAAATACAGATTTAAAAACTAAATGTATGTTAGGGATAGCACGGAAACCCACATACCACCTTGAAATCTTAAAAAAAAAAAAAAATCGTAAAAGAAAAACAAAAAAATAAAATAAAACCCTCAGGAAAGTAAGTTTGGTGTACATTGGCACTAGTTATCATAAATCTGCCCAATTAGACTATCGATTCAGATTTCGTCACTATTTATATAATACTCAGCATGGTGGTCTCATTTAAAAAAAAAAGCAAGCTCATACAGCTCTCCCTGTAGTACTGTGTACATGCTGACAAGCTGACGACTTTGATTATTAAATGAAACTGGCTCCTGTTTATTAAAAAAAAAAAATGAAATAATCCCATTTACTTAAAAGACACAGCATGGACCCGTGTGATGAAACAGAAGCCTTAGTGAGCATCCTGCAGGCATGTACGGGACTTTGAAGAGAAACTATAGCAATCAGCAAATGCAGGGTAATGAGTCCAAATACCAAATGTATAACTTGTGTGTTTTATTTGTATGTAATGATAGCTGCAAGTTCTGAGGAAATAAATAGTTTGAAAAGTACACGGCTTAAGAATGAAGCCTTTGATGGGAGTTCTAGTGTAAGCATAGAGTTGTGCATTTTGTTCTCTTTGTTAAATGGTTACCCCGAGCCTTGGGCCAGGTTGGTAGTTGTACTATGTAACATGCATGTAACTGCTGAAGGGTTAAAGCTGAGCTCCCGGTATGCTACTCAAGCATGGAGCAATGTAAGCATGTACAGTGGTGTGAAAAACTATTTGCCCCCTTCCTGATTTTATTTGTTATTTTTTGCATAGTTGTCGCTCTTAAAATATTCAGATCATCAAACAAATTTTAAAAGTACACAAAGATAACCTGAGTAAATACAAAATGCAGTTTTTATAATTATGATTTCATTTATTAAGGGAAAAAATCTGTCCAAACCTGTCTGGTCCTTTGTGAAAAAATAATTATTGCCTCCCAAATAATAACTGGTTGTGCCACCCTTGGCGGCAACAATCAAGCGTTTGCAATAACTGGCAATGAGCCTTTCACATCACTTTGGAGGATTTTTTTCTCACTAATCTTTGCAGAATTGTTTTATTTCAGCCACAGTGGAAGGTTTTTGAGCATGAACAGCCTGTTTAAGGTCATGCGACAGCATCTCAATCAGATTTAAACCCGGACTTTTTCTAGGCCACTCCAAAGCCTTTGAGCCATTCAGAGGTGGACTTGCTGGTGTGTTTCCGATCATTGTCCTGCTGCATAACCCAAGTGCATTGAGCTTGAGGTCACGAACTGACGGCCGGATATTCTCCATCAGGATTTTCTGGTACAGCTCAGATTTCATGGTTACATCAATTATGGCAAGTCGTCCAGGTCCTGAAGCTGGAAAGCAACCCAAGATCATTACACTCCCACCACCCTGTTTGACTGTTTATGAAAAGCTGTGTTATTTTACACCAGATGTAAAAGGATGCATACCTTCAAAAAAGTTAAAAACTTTTGTCTCATCAGTGCACAGAATATTTGCCCAAAAGTGTTGGGAATAATCAAGATTTTTTTTTTTTGGCAAATGTGAAACGAGCCTTTGGGTTCCTTTTGGTCAGCAGTGGCTTTTGCCTTGGAACTCTCCCATGGATGCCATTTTTGCCCAGTTTGGACAAGGTGGAGATTGTGGCATCACTGCCCAGCCCTCTCTACCTCATCCAATCAGAGAACACCTTGCATTCATTGAGGAAAATGCAAGGCATTCTGTGAATAGCACCTGTGCGGAGCAAGCTGAATAAAATTAGCAAAAACTCAATATGCAAATATGTTTTTTACTAGGAGGGTTAATAATACTTTAAGGTATAGGAGTCTTGAGTCCTGAGCTGCTGCCTGGGTCTCTGGTTTAGAGGTCAGGTTTTTATCAAAGCGTGTGTCTCCCAAAAAGGACAGAAAGTGAAGAGACTTCAATCAATTCAATTGGAACTCAAACAGTAATACATATCCAACAGAAATTCTAACCCTTCCATTGTCTACTCAAAACCAAACAAAAATTGCCTTTTTATCAATATGTGGATCCTGGTGGGCTGCATCGCCCAATGGCCTCTTGTGTTGTTTACAGACACCAAGGGAAAGACCTTGTTGGGGTGACTGTCTCAGAAAGTCCTAAAGCTTCTCATAGTGTCTACAGAAGCTTGGAGTTTTGACACCAGAGTCCCCCCATAAGAATCCTTGAGAGATAAGAATATCCATTTGGGTCAGCAAAGATCTATGCAAAACTGAAATATAAGTTCCAAGGTCTATGAATCTTTAGACCTGACTCTCTTCCATCACTGTAATGTCTGTTTTATCTCATACAGACTTTTGAGACTGCAAGTCATCTATTGTCGCTTTACCTACATGGGAAGAATAATGTACACCCACACAATGAGTTCTGATTCCCCAGGGATGCTCAAGTTTACATAAATAGACTGAGTCATAACAATTCACTGAATTTTTCTTCGTTGTTGTTTTGCAGTTTGCTTTTAAATATAGGTTACTGCAAAACTGTATAACTTTTGTGGTTAGGGACAATTTTACGAAAATGCATATAATAGAAAGCTGTTCATGGGGGAACATTAAAAAAACAGACACTATCTGTAATATGGTTGGCAGTTTTTACTGTTGCCAACTCCAGAATGACTCCATCAATCTTCAGCCCCAAGATTATCCTTAAAACCTAAATGAATGTTCATCTCCAGAGCTGCTCTGGATTTAATTACTCTAGCTCCAAAGATGCTATCAAGCAGCAATAGCTGATATTCCTATCATCTTGGAATGGATTGCCCAAATATGTCCCTGTTTCCTCTTCACCATACCTCCCTGTTATGGTTTGTGAAGTACGTCCTCAATCCTTTTTATCCAGATTTTCAAAATCTGGCTGCAAAAGATGTCAATAGGTTGTCTAAACAGAAGCTCCAAAGAAAGGAAGGAAAGAAACCACTCACCATCTTAAAAGCCTTAGAACAATTTCTGGAGACTGAACAGCACAGAATCATATAACAAGGGGCTGCAGTCTGCTGAAGAACCAATCAAGATAAAGGTTCTCTCTCACTCTATAAAGCTGTAAAAAAAAAAAAAAAAAGTGTCATAAATAAAATCTACCCAAAAGTATCACAATCCCTATTTAACAAATATAAATCAAATCTTAAAAAAAACATATTTAATAAAAACATACCGGTAATTCATATCTCTAACCCTAATATAAAGTGCATAAATTACAATAAAGTGCAAATCAGTGTGTACACTCTAGATATCTCATCATGTGGCTCCAGATCCATCTAACGTGTATCATCCAACTGACATCATCAGGAACATTTTTTTTTGGGGGGGGGGGGGTTGGGGGGGTATAGTCTTTCTAAAGCTGGCCCTACACTAGTAGTTCGAGCAAACATTTGTACAAGAATTCTCAAAACATTTGAAGACTTGGTAAATGCCACTCAAAAGTAATTCAAAATGTTGTTTGCTGTAGCCTCCCTGGCGGTATTCCTGAGTGTAGCTCGGGGTAAAGTTTCAGTACCAAAAGCGGTAACCCCGAGCTACACTCGGGCTTACCATGCGACGTTGCTCCCGGATCTGTCCTTCTCTTACCTTGCCCTGCGCTCCCGCGATGTCCCTCCTGCAGTGTCCCCTGTAATGTCCTCCGGCGGATGCCGGCATCTGTCTTCTGGGTTCTGTCCCCTGCGATGTCGGGACGTACGGGGACAGAACGGCGGGAAATTTGAAAATGACAAAAAGTGACATTCACTAAAATCACATAGTAAAACATTACTGTATCAAAGCATTTCACATACATTTTGTCCCGAGTGCTTTGTCCTGTGCCCTGCCTGCATTTTTACTGTTCTTTCTGCCTGGAAACTGAGAAACGTCCATGGCGTCCAAAAAGCGTCCCTTTAGGTCAAAATCAGTTTTAGACCAGCTAGAGAACAGCGATAGTAAATCAGAACCACTTGCAGAATTGAGTGATAATGATTCGTGGGGAAATTCGTCATCAGACACTGAAAACGATTTTGCGACTTTGCTCAGTGATGTGCGAACTGGCACTCTATTTCAAATTTCAGTGTTTTTAGTTTGATTATATTATTGAATTAAAGTTATTATTATATTATTATTTTTTATGATTATTTATTAAATTATAATTTATGATTTTGTGTTTCAAATTTTATCTTACCGGGATGTTTACTAGACTCTTTTTCGGACAGATTTCAGTGAGTTATTCCTAAAAATAACAGGCCTACAATAAAAAAAAATACATATTTTCATGCACAAAAATGTACCGCTTTGAGCACAGAAATATGGACATAATCAGACCGCTAGGGAGGTTAAACATTTGTTTTTGGAAAGACTGGACCTTACCAAATATAAACTGTTAGAAATTTGTTCATTCAAGAAAAATTTTACATCCTGCACTTGTGATCTTTCTCGTCACTGCTCTCTGTTTGATACCACTAACTGTTATAAAAAAGAACAAACTTTATTAAAAACAAAAACTTTACACAAAAAATTCTATTAGTGTATGGCCAGCTTAAAAACCATTGTAGAGAAAGAAAAAATGCTGAATCTGCCTGCAGGGAACCATACAAAAATTCAAGTAAACAAAAGGGTCTTTCTGACTCCAGCACAGCCATAAGGTTCATTGGCGAAGAATATCAGTTTAGTGATTTTTTTCACAAGTTGGCTGCAGTAACTAGTTCGAACATAGGATTTATCATGAAATGCTTCTGATTACTTGATAAAGCCTGTTAAAACTGTGCCATTAAATTGAATTATTTTTATCTATCTGCCTTTTAAATGCATGATGTGGACTTCACACACATTAATACCGTGTCACACTGTGATTCATGATAACAGGTAATAGAAGTGTGATAACTGATTAGGACATTCATACCGGTCAGCAGTGAGAAATTATCTTCTGTTGTATGTAATTAAATCTACAATTCTGTTACACGTTTCATATAATTGGTTTTTTAAAAAGTATTATGTATATGAAATGAGCAGAACTAAGAAAAAAAAAGCAATCAACAGGAGCTTATCACGTTGGATTTACAAAATTTAAAGCTGATTTCCATGTTTTAATGGAGCTTAAATAGTTCATTTGGAACATCCTAGTCCAAACGAACTATTACCTTCATTACAAGTCATGCCTGCTGTGCACATTGTATAAACTGTATGTAGCTTCAGCTACATAGAGTATATAGCAGATGTCCATTTATGAACCAGCAGTAATAGCTCGCTGCTCAGTTTCTCCGGCATTCTCGGAGAACACAGTTCTCCTGTAAATGCCTTTTATGAAGCAGTTCTCCAAACGAAGGGGAGAACGATCTCCAAACGCTGGAGAATGGTCTCCAAACACTGGAAAATGGCTCAATTAACTATAATCTCGTGAGATTACAGTAAAAGATCAGTTTACTAAGCAGAGGTAAATTATCTCTGCTTAGTTTGCGGAGGGAGAACACAGATCTCTAGTGAAGGGCTGAACAGTTCTCCACTGATCTCCTGAGTGTCATCAACTGTGAATGACCAGAGAATAGCTGCGATCCCCTGAATTGCAGCTATTCTCTGTGTCATAAACGGACACCTATGTTCCAGGAGAAGGGTGGGAACTTCCCATCCTGCTCCCGGAACAAAATCAAGACGAATTGAGTGCTGCTCAGCCATTTGCAGCAAACTTTGTATTTTATGAATGAATAAAAATGCTTCTTTTGATTGGCTGAGGTGGAGAGGTGGACACAATTTCATACTCCCTGTGGATGGCTAAGGCTGGCCATACATGGGTCAAAAATCGACCGATTTTTTGTCTGAAAATCGGACGTAAGAATAATCGGCCGATTTTCGCTCTGTTACTGGGTCAATAGCACTGGCCAATTTTTGTGGTTCCTCCCCTTTCGATGATCGGGCATGTTGGAAAGTTTGTGAAAAACGACCGATTTTCGACTCAATGATGGTCAAATCATACGATGGTTTTCCGAAAAGAATATGCACATGAGCCGTGACCTGGAAGGAACAGAAGTTTTGCATGTTATATGGGGTTTATAACTTGGTCAGCCGATTTTCAAAATCAATGATGGCACCATCGGATTACCGAGTGAATGACGTTTCCAACTTAATGAAGTTCCAATTTAAGAAGATTCCACCAGTCAACAACAGAAGTCCATGTTTACAAGTGTTACAATTTCGCAGAGCAACTTTTTTTCTGTCCTCTTGCATATTGCGAAGTATAAATGATTTTTGCTTGCAAACATTTTCATAGACAAAATTGTGTTGCAGAGGAAGAGAAGGGGGTGTGTCTTTCTATTTCTTTTACTGAAACATTAAACATTGATTTTATGACTATTTTAGTTTATTATTGTTATTTAATGTTTGATTTCACTATACGTATGATAACTCATAGTGCTGCTGGTAATTAAACACTGGGGTGTTTTCAGATAAAAACAAGAAAAGCAAAGTGAGCGCTACAATGAAGCTGCTGAGACACCAAAAAGGTACCAAAAAACCTCCTAGATCAATAAGATAAATAAAGTGGGTGCAGCGCTGAAATCCAAAGTAATAAGTAGAAATAAAGTGCTGTATATACAACAGACTACTGAATCAATCAAAACCAGCTGTAAATAATGCAGATTGTAAAGTGCCAATAGTGCTATTGGTGACCATAAATAAATTCATAACATGTAAAGTGACAAACGTGCTTGTGTATTGGTCATATATATAAGTCCATCAAGTGATCAAGTGTGTATAATCTGGTAAGAGCCACTCAAGGTGGCGACAGTGCTAATAAAGTGAAAAGTCCAAAATGTTGAACGTGAGGATCCGTCAAGAGATCTCAGGATAGGTGATCCAAAATCCTATCTCCAATTTATAGGTGGTATATCTGGTAATAGAAAAATTGCACACTCACCAGATGCGCAATATTATCACGCATTTGAGAACACAACTGTCTCATCAGGTCAGTCAGATCCTCTTACAGGTATGTACAGCCTGGTCACAGTTCCCCTCTGGATCCTACGTGGGTCACAGCACATCTAACTCTCTCTTTAGAATGGCTCTGTGGATGGTTAGGCTCACGTCTAATGATTGTTTTTGGTCTTTGACTTGGAAGGTACTAAAATGGCAGCCGGATTTTTCTCTCAGTGCACGTTTGCTTGAAATGCTTATAGGGCCTCCTTTCCCTATCAATAAATTTCCATAACTCCATGCACATGAGGTTGGTGTGAATTGGAGCTTCTTCCTGGGGCTGGTATTAACTGGAGTTAAGCAACTGGAGGTGTGAACAGCAGTGATGTTGTGTGGAAGAGGTGTGACGGCAGAGCTGCATATCCCCTCATCACAGCTGTCAGTGTGGCTGAGCACCTTCCTCTCCTCTCTATACAATGCCAGCACAAGGTTACCCACCACCTGCCACTCTCCCTCTGAATTGCATACAGCACACTCAGGGGGCAGGGCCACACGGACACTCACTGTGACTCGCTGTGACCGACGGAGGATCCAGAGGGGAACCGTGACCAGGCTGTACATACCTGTAGGAGGATCTGGCTGACCTGATGAGACAGTTGTGTTCTCAAATGCGTGATGATATTGCACATCTGGTGAGTGCGCAATTTTTCTATTACCAGATATACCACCTATAAATTGGAGATAGGATTTTGGATCACCTATCCTGAGATCTCTTGACGGATCCTCACGTTCAACATTTTGGACTTTTCACTTTATTAGCACTGTAGCCACCTTGAGTGGCTCTCCTCAGATTATACACACTTGATTACTTGATGGACTTATACAGTGACAAACGTGCTTGTGTAATGGTCATATATATATATATATTATTAATTTATTTATGGTCACCAATAGCACTATTGGCACTTTACAATCTGCATTATTTACAGCTGGTTTTGATTGATTCAGTAGTCTGTTGTATATACAGCACTTTATTTCTACTTATTACTTTGGATTTCAGCGCTGCACCCACTTTATTTATATTACTGGGGTGTTTTGATTAAATATTCTTAAATAGACTCTGCCTGACCCAAAATGGCCACCAGAGTCACATGGGGCAGCAGCATCCAATCAGATCACTTCCCCAATGACCCAGGAAGCCATAGAGAAACAGATTCCTCCTAACTTCCTCTCCTCCTGCAATGCCACTGCGGTTGAGCGTCACCTGCAGTGGAGAAAGGAGACTGCACCTGTCTACAAGCAGCTGCAGTATTTGTAGATGCTGACTTTTAATTTTTTTCAAACGGAGCATTTTAAGAAGACTTTATACAATGAGGCATGATGCCAAACCTACTGACATGTAGATTTTGGGTTTACATATACAATACTTTATTGAGATATGTGAAAAAAAAAAGCAAACAAATAGGCATAGCTTATAAACCTTACCTACTCTATACAAACTTAAAAAAAAAGTTTTGACTTTTATATACTTTAGTGACTGTGCCTAGGTTTACCACTAAGGAACAGAACATTTGAAAAAAAAAAGAAAGTAAAAAAAAAAATTGTCTGAAACTATTTGACTCCCCTAAAACTAAAATCCGAAAACTAACAGACAACTTGTTCACAATAGCGGACCAGTATCACCACCGCTCCTGTTATATGGCGTAGATTCTATCACAGGCTCTTGGTGGAGGTTTCACTGGGATTCTGTTCACATCTAATTAGTTCCCAGCAGTACAATGTACTCGGTAATTGCAAGAAAGCAGCAAACATACACAGGCTTACTGTATATTTAGTATAGCCTACTATATTCCTCTAGTGTAGCATTTTACAGAAAATAGTTATTTTACTGCGCAGATGCAAGGAATAAATAATATAGTGCAATGCAATTATATGATAGGGCAGCACAGTGGCTAAATGGTTATCACTTCCACCTGGCAGTACTAGGGTCGTTGGTTCAAATCCCAACCACGGCACCACCTGCCTGGAGTTTGCATGTTCTCCCTGTGCCTGCGTGGGTTCCCTCGGGTACTCCGGTTTCCTCCCACACTCCAAAGACACGCTGGTAGGTTAATTGGATCCTGTCTAAATTGGCCCTAATATGTGTATGTATGAATGTAAGATAGGGACCTTAGATTGTACACTCCTTGAGGGTTAGGGACTGATGTGAATGTACAATATATATGTGTAAAGTGCTGCGTAAATTGACAGCACTATATAAGTACCTGAAATAAATAAATAAAAAAATAAAATGGTACAATGCTTGAAAAGCTGATTTTTTTTTAATTTGCAAAAAAGATACAGTAGTTGTCTCCCAGACTGATGCTTTAACTTCAGTACTCCGAATCACTGATTTAGAACAAGTAATGTCAAAATCAATTGAACAGGTTTCAGAATAAAGTCCGAACAAGATCCGCAGTGTCAGACTTCACATTTTTCTCAGGAAATATTAACTTTAAAACTGCACATCAATGCACAAAAACATTTGCCATATCATGCTGGAAATGTGCATGCACGTTTAAATGCTGGATGTGAATAGAGCTTAAAGTGCACCTGTTTAACAGTGTGCTCTATTCATAACTGTTTAATAGAATAATATTCAGTGGGTCTATTGGAGAGCTGGCCGCTGTGACTCTGCTATGTGCTGGTAGCATAGGAATTTTTAACCCTTGTTGAGCAATTAAAAAAGCCAAAAAAAAGTATATTTTTTTTCTATATGCAGCCTGACTGTATTACACTAACACATTAAAAGGACTAAATTGGTCTTTAAAACAAAGCCTTGTTTACTTCTGTATCTATAGGTGTGGCAGCACCCAAATATTGCAGAGTTCCCCTTTAATCTATACGGTTTCTAAAGCATCTGTTTGTAGAATCAAGCCACCCGCTTGCTTTCTGCCCCTCATTTCCTATGGACAGTCTGCCCTAGTTTAGCAGCTGACACCCTGAACTTTCAGTTGGTGATAGTTCCACAAAATGTAAAAACCACAAGACTATATCCTATGTACTGCTTAGACTATATGTCAAAGGTATAAAAAATCAAGGAGGAGATATATGCATTGTGACGTAATTGTTGAAATATATACCCTGTAAGATTCTTTTGAAATTACTTAGCTTTGCAGGCATGGTCTGGCTAGGTCCCAGCTGGTTAATAAAGCTTGTTTTCCTCAAGTTCATGTCCAGAGTTTACCTGGTTTTCCCAAAGTTGCCACTACATAGGCATGTTTGAAAAATTCATCTTTAAAGTTTACAACAGAGACACGAGGGTTGATTTACTAAAGGCAAATGGGCTGTGCACTGCAAGTGATCTAAGGAAAACATGCAAGGAAAAAAAAAAAAAATTTTTGCTTGCACATGATTGGATAAAAGAAATCAGAAGAGCTTTGCCTCGGATCTAAAGAAACTGCACTTTCAGTGCACTTGCATTGCACAGCATATTTGCCTTTAGTAAATCAACCCCACTGAAATCACAATTTCTCTCCCCATGCTTCATATGGCAGCAGGAACTTAAAGTGGAACTTTACTATAGCAACTTTTTTTTTTAATGTTGGTTGAACTGGATGGACTAATGTCTTTTTTTCAACCAGATTAACTATGTAACTTGATAAAAAAATAATATTCTTTAGCAAGGAACATGCATTCCACTATAATAATTCTGCTACCAAAATTGGAGCTGTAAATTGCCCCCAGCATTGCTCCTAATTCTTCTTGCTGAAAGCTGCCATTTTGTCCACGGGCCCTGAGCAGCGGTAAATCTTTAGGCTGTCAGCAGATCAACCTCTAGTGGCTATGATTTTTGTCACAGTGCTGAAAAATAGAGCGCATCTGAGCATGTGCAGAGCAGGGCGAGACACTGTATAACTGGATTTTAAACATTATAGACACTTATTTTTAATGTTTTACATAGGTATACCTGCAAGTGACTTCATTCTCTTGCTAATGTTATGCTTTAAAGTTGAAAATGGATGGTCTGCTTTCCTGCTAACTCCCACCATCTCAACAAAAGCTGTAAAAAAAAAAAAAAAAAGATAAAAAGGCTCATCTCATGGGAGGTGCAGGTGACACCACAATGTACCACTGCTGCTTCCTGGGAGAGCTGACCACCCAAAATCACATGACAGTGCACCAAAAACCCATAGCAGGAATGCATTCTTGTGGGATGTTGAGCCAGCAGTGAGGTCCAGGGACACCACATGCATCTCTAGGAAGCAAATGGAAGTTGGGTCCAAGGGTTTTTTTTTTTTTGTGTAACATTTTTATTTTTAAAGGATTTTTTCTGAGGGAGGAGGGGAGGTGGGAAGCTGACAGACAAACTGTTCTTTCAATTGCATGAAAGGTCTTCTGTAGCCTCCCTGGCAGTATTCCTGACTCCAGCTTGGGATAAAGCTTCAGTACCACAAGCAGTAACCCCGAGCTACACTCGGGCTTACCATGCGGCGTTGCTCGGGGATCCTCCTGCAGTGTCCCCAGCAATGTCCTCCGGCCAATGCCGGTATCTGTCTTCTGGGTTCCGTCCCCTGCGACGTCGGGACGTAACGGCGGGAAATTTGAAAATGACAAACAGTGACATTCACTAAATTCACTAAAATCACATAGTAAAACATTACTGTATCAAACCATTTCACATACATTTTGTCCCGAGTGCTTTGTCCTGTGCCCTGCCTGCATTTTTACTGTTCTTTTCTGCCTGGAAACTGAGAAACGTCCATGGCGTCCAAAAAGAGTCCCTTTAGGTTTTAGACCAGCTAGAGAGAAACAGCGATAGTAAATCAGAACCACTTGCAGAATTGAGTGATAAAGATTTGTGGGGAAATTCGTCATCAGACACTGAAAACTATTTTGCGACTTTGCTCAGTGATGTGCAAACTTGGCGCTCTATATTTCAAATTTCAGTGTTTTTGGTTTGATTATATTATTGAATTAAATGTATTATTATTATATTATTATTTTTTATGATTATTTATTAAATTATAATTTATGATTTCGTGTTTCAAATTTTAACATACCCGGGATGTTTACTAGACTCTTGTTCGGACAGATTTCAGTGAGTTATTCCTAAAAATGACAGCCTACAATAAAAAAAAATACATATTTCCATGCAAAAAAATGTACCGCTTTGAGCACAGAAATATGACCGCTAGGGAGGTTAACAGTCTGACAGCTTTTTATTGTAAACAAACAGCGGGTGCTGTAAACAGACTTCAGAGTTTTTATTGTGAATCTTGAGGATGAATTATACACAGTACTTTTAGCTACAGAAGTCAAGGATGGCTTGCTTTAAAGGTTTGCAAAAACATTAATGTCCAAAGTCTGGGTTCAGGTTCCCTGATTAGGTGCAAGTACTTAAGATGTCCTTTGCCAGTCATCATGAAACAGTGTTGCCACCTCAGCAGAGCAAATAAATCTGATTGTCCTTGAGTCAAGAACAAATGTTATTACTATATCCGTAGAGGTTCATTCAGTTTGAATCATAATGATATGTCAGAATTCTGCACACACTCATTATCTATTGGCACCTTCACAACAGCTGATGGCCTGGGTTTTATTGACTGGATGTGACGCTAGTACGCATGATGCAGCCACGCCTGAGCACTTGGCTTGAACGCCGGGAACCACATTATGGGCACCATTTTCCCCTGGATGGATGCATATCTGCATATGGGAGGAGAAATACATACATTACAACTTCTTTGTAACTATATAAGGCCCCAAGCATTGCGAGTTGGAGGCAGCTGTTAAATCATGTTCGGTCCCCGGTAGAACCACATGTACTACGTTTGTTCCCGACTCTCTAATGGGTTAAAGTCTGAATGGCAGTTTTCTGAGGTTTAATTACCACAGCACCGTGTCTCTATATGTCCACGGTGAATTTTAAGAATGTAAGTGACCACTTTGAATATCTAAAATTTAAGAAACTTCTATGGTCTAAATACCTAATTGGCTATTTCAGTTTCATTGATAGCATATCTTAAATTAAAGGAATAATAAGTTTGGCTTAAATGTTTGCTTATTATACATTTGTCCATGTGTTATACAATATGGAAGGTTAGTTAACTTTTGGCCCCCATTATATGAATAATAAGAGATAGCATTCCCTCAGATATGTCTTGATGTCTATTACTATATCCCTGCCACAGCAATGTATAGGACACCATATTAATTTATATGTTTAATTACTACAGTACTCTTCAATGTGGCACCCGTGGTTCTTGCATGCCAAGTAATGATCTCATTCTACACATGGGGGGGGACTCATTCTCCAAAACACAGCAATGTTTGATCATTTTTTGTGATATGTAACATTTGTAAAATTGGTTTTTCAATTCCGGTATCAGAAATAATTTGCACAAAAGTGTAACTGTTGGTAATTGTTTTAGAGCGGTATCCTTTGCCTGAGGAAAAATCTGCACTAAAGTATTCAAAACGCATTGGATATAGGCTGAATGCACTTGTAGCTCCCTTGATTGAGGTTGCAAGATGAATATCAGCTTCAAGAGATACCGCTAATTCTATGTAAGAATTACTAATATTGTCAAGCAAGTATGCTGTCAAGAATTGTTATATTCTATGGCGAAAATATGTACTAATGTGTTAAATAAATATAAAATCTCCATTTATAAAAATTGTCTGACATATATTTGAAGGTTCCCTTAAAAATCCCTCCAAATATAAGGTATAAATCTCTCCATGTGTACATTCATTGGACCCCCCCTTCCCACACACGCTGAACAGAGAAGTGAAGTGAAGACCTTGGGCATCCCTTTTGAGGCAGTCAGAATACAATGGTGGGACACATGAAGGATGTGATGGTCCCAGGTATTGTCTAAATGTCTTCATTTGCATAGGTTCAAGTCAAGTGGTCTTATTTTAGTCATCTACACTGGCAATATAAATTTGGGTCACGTTTGTTCTGCTGATCTATTAAACTAATGAAAGTTTATTAGTTCATTGTTATACTGCCTTAACAGTGTCTAAATTGTTTGGTACAAAATTATTCCCTGCTTAGTTTGGGGAAACAACATCTGGGACCAGTTGGGGCCATAGCCGTAGGTAGGTTAGGGCACTCTGGAGAGTAACAACAGCATTTTTTTATGTAATGACAGCATGCACTTGAATGCTGTAGAATTTAATATTTTCAAATTAGGCTTGGGTACTGGTATCAAATGCGCTCTGGCTTAGGTGGGGTGCAGCATCAGTTGAAGCCTGATCATATGAGGGTTTTTACCTTGTGGGTGGAAATGGTACCTGATTGATACCCTCAGTGGGCTTTGTTAATTGGTATGTCTGTCCGTAATTTATAGTTAAAACAGGTCTTGAAATCATGTGATGCTTAATACCCACAGTGTATATGTGGCTACAACTAGTTTAGGTCATCAACTGCAAGTTATGAGTTTGTTGGTTATTATTATTGAAATAAGCTTTCTGATATGAATCATTAAAACAGTGACCTTGCCCTTCCATTAAATAAAAGTTTGAGTGCCATTCTTTATGGTATGGAATGATAGTATCAGGAAGACATTTATTCAATTGGCATAAAGGATGATACAATACTTCCTTGTCACAGTAAATTAATGCATGTCATTTCTAAAGAAAAGACCTTCAATGAACACCCAACTGTACAAGTATTCCCATATAAAACCTCTAGAGAAAGATGTAAATAACATTTCAGCAGCTACTGCACACATTAGCTCTAGCTTGAGATTTCAGTTGTTGATGAAGATGAGAAGATAGGAATTTAAAGTGGTAGTAAACTCAGTACTTGCAAAGTCCATGGATAGGCAGGTTTTTATAACAGAAGAGACCCTAGAAGTCTCTTCTGTCATAAATCCCCCCCCCCCCCCCCCCCCCCCCCCCCCCCGCCTGGGATCTAAGCGTCACATATGCAGCTCAGACCACATTTACAGCTCACTCTACATGCCACAGTGATGTGACTCCAGTGCTCATTCAGCCATTCAAGCTGAAGATTCCGAACCCGGAAGGAAGACTGGGTGAAGATGGAAGCGCCGGGGGCCAGGGAAAGCCATGACAACGCAGTGCTGGAGGGCTCCCTTTGTAGGTGTCAAGGTCCTACCTTTTCCCTGAGGTTGTGTTACTCCATGTGCTGGCGTCCATCTTGGATTCTGCTGTGCATGGTGGGAATCCTTTTTATGCCTTCAGGTCTCTGAGGTCCACCCCCCAGAGGGGCGTGGCTGATGACATATAAGCCTGGGGCCCGCACATGCTCTTTGCACTTGTGTCTTGTGTCTTTGTGTTACTATTACTCTGTTCTGACTCTCGTGACTCTCCTGGTATTCTGATTCGGCTTGTGACTTGACTATTCTTTGTATTCTCCTTTGATCTGACCCTCTGTTGCTGAACCCAGCTCGTGACCTGTGATTCTCGTCTGCTGTCCTGTACTGTTTTGTCCTGTTGTTGTTGACCCCGGCCTGTCTGACTACTCTTTTGTCTCTTCCACCAGCTACACGCCATTGGCAGCGGCCATTACTGCAGCTGAGGTGTCTCAGGGGCCGCGACCTGGTTCCTGGCTGCGTCAAGTCCATCCCCACCATCAGGGGCCCTGGTGAAGGGCAGCCTGGGACTTAGACTCCACGCCCTGAGGGACTTCGGTCTGTGGGTGGTGGTTGTCGTCAGCCAGTGCGTTACATTGTTAGGCCTGCCTGTCCGTTCCTCGGCCCCTGCCCTGACAGTAGGGAGGTTTGTCATGACATACTAGAATGCAGCACATACTAGTACATTATGACTTCTGGGGGAACCAATTTTTTCCTGTATGAAAAGGACTACTAACACTTTAAAGCCTATGATTACCTAACAAAAAATTAAAAAATAAGCACAGGGAAATTGGGCAGCACAGTGGCTAAATGGTTAGCACTTCCACCTGGCAGTACTAGGGTCGTTGGTGTTACGGATCCACCAGGTGGCACCTCTGGCAGCCCACTAGGCGGAATCACCCGGAGCGTGGGGTCTAAGTCCCGGTCTGCATTTTCACCAGGGCCCCTGATGGTGGGGATGGACTTGGAGCAGAACCAGGACCAGGTCACGACCTCGGAGCAATACCACCCGTGGCAGAGGGAGCCTCCGTGGATAGAAGTAGGACAGAGTAGAGTCAGATGTGAGGAGGCCGGCAGGACCTGGCAGGATAAACCGGCGGTTGTCACCGTGGGAAATGGCGTGGTACCGAGACAGTAGGCAGAGAGTGGTCAGGTCACACGCTGGGTCAGTTACCGGGGTCAGTCCGCAGAATGGTCAAACAAGCCGGGGGTCGGGACAGGAGAAGGCAGCGTAGTCAGGGACAATCCGGGTCAATCACAGGGGAAGGCAGCGTAGTCAGATAATCCGGGTCAGGGCAGGAGCAGGCAGAACGTCAAACAATCCGGGTCACAATCACAGGAAACACAGGTATCAGATCAGACCTTGCGGCGATTTGTGACAGTGCAGGGCATCTTTAAATATCGCGCCCTGCACTGCCATTGTCCGCCCAGGACGCGCCCCCGGGCTGTCATTGGTCGCCCGAGGCGCGCCCACGGCTCCTACTGCGCATGCGCGGCCTCCTGTCAGCCACGGCCCGCCGGGATCTGGTGCCTGTGTCCCGGCATGAGCCGCCGCTATTGCGCATGCGCCGGGGACGGAGCCG